ACAAGCTGGAATGGGGAATTAAGACACTGAGAACTCAGGATGAAAATGAAAAATAAAATTTAATTTAAAGTAAAATAATGAAAACAACAATTTGAGGGCAAGTGTTTTAAGCAAGATAAGCAACTGTCATTGTTTGAGAATGGCATACCAAATCAGAGTTAGCACTGGACCTCCTCAAGATGGAACTGCTAGGCAAAAGGACCTAGGTGGGCTGGAGCAATGGGCCATCAGGAATCTAATGGAATTCAGCAAAAACAGATGCTAAGTCCCTTTGCTCAGAGCTCATTAGATGGCACCTACAGTACTGTGCTCAATTTTGGGGCCTGCAGTATAAAGCCAGCAATGGTAAAAGATGAAGTTCACATCCTTCTAGCCTTCATTAAAACTATTTCACATCACTCCATACTTTCATTTAAAGCAGTTTCCTGACAGCATTGAACACAAGATCTAAAAGCATCTTTTTATCAAAAGATAAAAGTGTAAATGGAAAACAGTTTGTGTACTGTATACAAAATGGGGGAAAATATGAAGGACACATAAGAAACAGCAAAAGAGAAATAAAAGCTTTAGTCTTTGCAGACTATATAATTGGTGGTGCACAAGGTAATCATGTAACCTGTGTACTTCCATGTGCATGTACTCTAAGCTGAACGGTTCTCAGGGCGTATGTGGCTTTACCAAAGTGGAAAATTTTTGTTTTATATGAGGCTTCTAAGGAAGAAAGAATTTTCCTCCAGCCCTACAAAAAAGTAAGATGGAGATTAACATCTACAGGTATATAATTTCCAAATGGCTTAGAAAACAGATTAGCTCTGCTTTAACACTATGAACTCCTCATTTCCTTTACAGCAACTATAGGTATTGGACCTATAGAATAGAATGGTAATACATGGTAAATGCCCTAGAAATGTTTGAAGGTGCAACACCACACTCAGGATTTCTCCTACAAGAACAGATAAACAGACCTTTCAGCAAACTGATATGTGAACGGATCAATGGATGTGAGCAACAAGCACACTGAAATGCCACTGAGAGAGAAAAAATAATGTATTTTCTTTCCATGCTCTGCTTACCAAATCTGGCCTCTGTTACTTCCGGATATCTGTCAGCCATGAACCAGACTCCTACTCTGTCTATTTTAGAAGTTGCCTAGTCTCTCAGACTCATTTGTGATGCTTCTCCCTATAGTGTCAGCACAGCACTTTCTTGCCCACCTCAATTTTCATCCTTCATTGTTTAGTTACATTGTTCCTATTAAGTATATATGTTGGTGACTCAAGGCAAAAAGCTTCTAAGCTTCTTCAACGAGCTCTTCAACAAGAGCTTTGAAGATTAGGACTTAGACATGGGCTCCTCATTTCATACCAGATGTGACTCAGCAAGGTGTCTGGAAGAGAGGCGTGAGACATTCTTGGAGACCAGCTCTCCCTCTGTTAGGCTCTCATCCAAACTTTTTTTAGAGATGAGCTGTTTGACAGTAAAGTATGACTTCAAAAACACCAAGACTCATAAATATATGCATTACTGAGATCAATCCTGAACTGAAAAGCCCATCATATTCTTCTACTGTAGGCAGGGAAATGGAGCATTTCTGGCAGCCACTGGTGGTTGGAGACCAAAAAAAAGAACCCCAGTGAATAGTTCAAATAGCTACCAGATTTAATACACGGGTGTTCCCCTGTCATGGTAGCATTAGTGCCACAGTTCAGGCTTCAGTACGGGGCTGTGTTACTGCGGCAAATGCAGAATGGCTGAATTACTGTTGCTCATTATCTGAACTATGTCTGACTGAAGGGCAAATATTCTCGTGGCAAATTAAAATTTGCTCTGCACTGGGTGTTGCCCTGGAGCTCCTGAGGTGTGTGCATGCACTCCATGAGTAATCTCCAGCAGAGCAGCCAAGCAGACAGGTCACAGCGGAAGCATCACTCTCTGAAGTCAAGCTGCTGATGCCCATATCAATGACCTCATTTAACTGTACACTGTATGTGGAACCAGCACCCAAAAGCAGTGTGACAGGTGTACGAGTATGATTGTAGAACTCACTCAGCACAGGGATATGTTCAAGCTCCTAAGCACATGATTCTCTCCAATAACCCCGTGGGTTTCCTAACGACGACCAAGGATTCTTACGCAGCACACAAAAGGAGGAATGCACAAAGTCCACATGATATTCTCACACTACAAATGCTGCACAGCTACCAGAAGGAGCAGTGAATTCTCCAGGCTTACATACAGGGTAGACAGGGTTCCTCAAAACGGACAATATCAAGATATAACTGCACAGTGTCCCTTGTCCAAGACAGCATAGACACAGGTTCTGGTTAGCCATGCCCTTCTTTTACCTGGCTTTTGCAGACCATGCTGGCAACTACTGTCCAGCCTAAAGGATTCAGAAGACTTGGCATACATTGTTTTTACGTTATAGGTATCCATGGTACACAAGAACAAAACAAGTAGCTGTAACACAGATCTATTTCTTGAGATATGGTTATATTGCATCTCAAACCCTTCACAAATTGATAAGGTGCAAAATAGGGCAACATTTGTGGAGAATTTTTTTTTGCAGAAAAATTTACTGGAAGGGAAAACTGGATGCAAGCTGCCTAGGATGGAAAAGATCCAAAAAAATTAAGTACCTTTTTCAGTGTTTCTCTATAGCTGCACACCTTCCTATGTTGAACTGCTATTTTTTTGAGGAGTCTGGTGATCCCTGACCATGCATACCTCAAAGTCTCTTCATTTTACCCTTCCTTACTTCAGAGGATCTGTGCTTTAGAGGAATTCTCCATACCAAGAAGAAAGAAACCAAAAAACAAACATAGTGTCCTTCTGCACTTCAAACTTGAAGGGCAGAGCCTATATACCACGAATGGACTGAAGTTTACAGTGAGATAAGAAATGCCAACCCTCTACCAATACAGAGATAAAAGAAACTACTGAAATGCCTGACAGATAAACTTGTGTTAATTTCAGAACATTTTTACTGGTCTAACTATGATAATGGTCTCCCTAAATCCTACCACCTCCTAGTGGCCAAGCAGATAATGTAATAGTCTCAGTTCATAAATTGGCTATAGTTGTAAAATAGGTAACAACATGGTAAATTCACATGTGCTTTACTAAGGACACATTCAACAATTCAAGTATTATAGCTAAAATAAAATATTGGGGAATGACACCAAGCAACTTTGCTAAACGTTGTTACAAAGGTTGGTTTAATGTATACTTCTTTATTGTCACGAAGTTACCAAACCCCAAATATTGTTCTAGGATCTATTACTGTTAGTATTTTTGAAGTCCTTGGAAAAAAGTGACAGTTAAAAGGTATCCCGTGCTGATTATCTGCAGGATGTTCAGTTTATTATTGCTTTGCTGTTCTCTAATTTGTGACTGGCATGCCCTTAGGCAGATAAGTCAATGGGAGATAATGCTCAAAAGATTTAGTATGGGTAAATCCAGAAGCGTGGGTCCTGAATATTTCATATTTCTGGATTTAGCACAGGTAAATTCAGAAACATGGGTCCTGAATATTTTATATTTCTGTCTTTCTTCCATTCTTTGTCCAACACTGTATTACTCTAAGATCATCCATTATTCCTCACTACATCTTTACTGCCTGCAGGCACTAACATCTCTGATCCCCCTAAGCTTTGTCTGCCTGATAGACCTTCGAGACACTCTTTAAGTAACAACATTGGGTGATTTCTAAAACATTTCTCTGTAAATGACATAATTTACAAAGAAAAGGTTAAGTTGGTGTTTTGGGTTTTGTTTGGGTTTTTTGTTTGGTTGGGTTTTTTTTGTTTGGTTTGTTGGTTTGGGTTTTGGGTTTGTTGTTATTGTTTGGGGTTTTGGTTTTTTGTTTGGGGTTTTTGTTGTTGTTGTTGTTGTTGTTTTTGGTTTGGTTTTTTTTGTGCCAGCCTGACCCAGCAGTAAAAAGGGTGTGACTTTGGAGGAGTACAGTGTTTCATTCATACAGTCAACACCACCATTACACTTAATCCAGGCATCCTAGTCTCTTCAGGTGAATCATATCTCCCACTGTTCAAATGAAAGACCTGCTTCATGCATTCTTCTGTGGAAAGGATAGGATACACCTTAAAGAGCTCTGTAGGAATTACATCACAGATGTTCAAATACAGACAGTGTTTATCCATGGTAGTGTTCATCTGTGGGCCAATGAAGAAACCCAAGATGATATCAAGTTCTTGCAGCTTAAGCTCCTTAGCAACCCTAGCAAAGCAAGTAGGTAAGCTCCATCCCTACCTATGGAAAGAGGTAGATGCTTTTGAAGACTTCCAAGAGGAAATCCTACTTGCCTAACTGCAATGCCTGGAGGTCTTCAGGGGAACTCTCTTCATCAATCAGAGAGAAAACACGCCTTTAGGTAGCTGCTGTAGAAGTATTTAAGATCCAAGGGGCACCACGAGTGTCTTGGCTGTGCAAACAGGATCCCACTCTTAGAATCTTATTCACCTTTTTAAAGCAGCAGCTCAGCAGGCATTTCTGTTTCTTTCCTCTTTTCTCCCCACACTGCTTATTAGCTTCTCTCCAAAGCCTATTTGTTGACTTAGAAAGTCAGAAACAGTAAGCAAGGCTTTCCATATTCTGAGTGACACTGCAGCAATCCTCTAAAAGAAAATGGATAGGCTTTTGTTAAAAGTGCACATGTAGCCTTCTGCTCTTGGTGACACTGGCACAGTCATCATGCCTTCTCTTGTAGAGACACACAGTGCTCCAGTTCGCAGGGTGAGGTGTTTACCACGTAGCTGAATATCTTATAGCTCACACTCCCCTAAAGTGTTGGCCATATTTCTCTCCCTCATCCCAAGCCACCATGGTACGCTTTCCTTGTACCATGTGGACCCTCTGTCCACTTGCTGAGATGAACCAGCTCACTAGGCAGGCAGCCAACACAGCTTCCTGCTGCTCTGGCGAGCTCATTCATCACGCCAGCAGGTGAGCCAAGAGCCAAACCTGGCATGAGGGAGGAGATGGGAACACACTGCTGGAGGCAGAGGATGGGAGGATCAAGGATGGGTTTCTCCAGGGCAGCAAGCTATTCCACTGTCTGAGAGGAGTCAAGAAACCTCACCCTCTGTTGCAATGAAACCTCTTTAACAAAATGGGAGTTATCAGACAACCGATCAGAAATTTCAGGGGGAACTGATTATGGTAAACCTCAGGAAAAAAAAAAAAGTGGTTTTTTTTTAATTTTTAATTGCCAGGCATGACATGCACAAACCCACCATGCTCACACAGCCTGCATGCATTTACATAGGGAGATTTGGGATTTCTGCTAGTTTCCTTCCTGTTTCTGGAGCTGCATGCAAGCCAGCTGCCTCAGCAACCAGGAGGATTAGGTTTAAAAAAACAGAAAGTAGAGATCTGAACTTCTCACGTTATATCTTGACTCTAACACTTCAAACTTTACAAAAGAGGCTAAATATCTTGAGACTACTGATAAAAGTCAGGAGAGTTGGCAGTTTTGCAGACATTTATGGGCTTGACAACACATTTTTCTGGTTTTAAGTGAAAACAGACAAAACAGTGCACATGCTAAAATAACGAGCATCTTGGCACATTGCAATTACAATACTGGAACAGACCACTATTCTGTTTTAATGGATACTTTTGAGAAAAACAATCCCCTATGTTCAGCTCCCTGTTACATTTATTCTCCAGAGCTCCAGTGCCAAAAGCTTCCCCATCTTCTCTGTAGGCTTTCCAAACAGAGTTCACCTCCTGCGAAGCACCACAAAAATACAGCTGCTGTCGAGCAGCAACTCTCCTTGCTAAGATGGGTTAGAGTCACATCACAGAGAAATGGCAACATGCAGTGCCATAATTACATTCAGACAGCACCAGGAGAGGGGGTTTTTTTTGAATATAACATCACTGACTCTCTAGTCTTTTGCTTCCATTTAGAAACTCCATGAAGTATTCTATGGATGATAGGCATTGATCTACAAACAGTCTGGATTTCCACAGCACAGTATCATATCTAGAAATCTTCCAGTATATAATGGTAGTATCGTCACACTAGCATGTAATGAATTGGTGAAAAGGAGTATTTTCTTTGGAGTTCCAGCAATATTATCAACTTGGCAGGGAACCATAAATCTTACGACGTAGGATTATATTTAATTGTAAGTTAATTTTTGCTATAAAAGAAATTAAAAAAAAAAAAGAAGAAAATCACGATAAAATCTTGGGTGTAAAGGTCAACTATTACAAAAAATGTTTCACTGTAACCAAATCACCAGTGATAGTTAAGCCTGGGAAGGCTCAGAGCTACAGGATTAATAGAGCACACACAATTACAAAGGCTTACCAAACTTTTAAGCAGATTCTAAAAGTGGCAACTAAAGTTCTGGGAAGATCACTGAAACTAAAGCTGTTGTGTGCATAAACCATAAGAAGAAATAAGCATTAGTTTCTTCAGAAAATAAAAGTCTTAAGACACCAAAAATTTAAAAAGGAGTTACCCTCACCAGTTAACAGTAACTTCTGAGCATGAACAAGCAATGCTAAACTAAGATCTTGCAGAGGCTCTTAAAAGAAGTCTAGTGACATAACAGAAATGCTAAAATAATTCAGCTAAAAAGTGTCTGGTTTGGCAATTCATAAATCACTGTGCTGCATTTTGAGGTGACATTGTTTAGAGCCTTGAGTCTTTCCACTTAACAGCATTCTCTTCAAGCACATGACAGCATTGAACTTGCCCTATTTGGTAAGAACAACAGTAGAGTTACAGCACTCTGATCATATGGAAATGCTGAATTAGTGTTGGAGCAAGAATAGTGAAAGACAAAAAAAACCTGAGGGGAGCGGGAGGGAATATTACATTGCTGATCCAGCTGGGAAGGCAGAGTGGTGATTTAAGACTTGTTAAAGGGAGAAGCAGGCTGACTAGCTGTCACTACTAGGGCACAGCAAAGGGGACTGCATCACCTCCAACTCCCTTCTCCTGCTGCTTTCCACACAGGCAATTGCCCAGGGACAAGGTCTACAAGTAACTGCAGTGCAGGGACAGCCACAACTCAATGGATTATTCATTATGCCCCCCTACTTCATCTGCAGCCCACTTACAGCAGCTCTACCTGTGATCGAGGTGTTAGGAAATCCTGGTATGAGAAAGACAACTACTGGGTGACACGTGTGTCACGTAGCTCTCTCGGAACTGGGCTATTCAGTGCCTTCTAATTTAATATCCTCAAAATCTCCAAAGACAGCAGTTAAAATTTAAACAGGCATTCTGAAAAGACACTCTTGATCCCATTATCAGTGCCATGGATGGGATTACAATGAGGGTGGTAATGGTGGAAATGTTTTAGGAGAGATCTAGTATCAACAGCAGGAGTGGCCACTAATTGGATTCTTTCTGTGTCACCGCAGAGTTGTCACGGGACCCTCGTTCTCTGTTGAACACTGCAGCTCTCAAGGCGCTCAGAAAGGAGCTTTCTCAATTGTTATCGCATCAGTCTGCCTTCTCACTCAAACACAAATCCCCCAAAGCTCTTTCTAAAGCTAAGGAAATCATGGAACCCATGACTCCCATGACATCTGCGACAAGTGCCAGCCTTGCCTGGGTAAGAATGGGCCCTGACATAACACAATGCTCAAACTCCTGGTCCTGCATGAATGTTTGGTCATAAATATATAACATCAAGTGCAGGATGTAAGTTAAACAAAGCTAGATAGAAAACCCCTCCAAACAGTCAAAATAGTCTGCAATGAAGTATTCTAGCCAGAAAAGAATTCGCAAATCTTTCAAAATATTTTTTCCGTAGCTGTCTAACATCCACTGAAGTGTGTGTTTTATAATGGCTTCCATATTTAGGAACACCATCCCCAGCATCACAACATTTTAAACAAACCGTTTTTATCAGTTCCTGATTGAAATGAGAGCTGTTACAATAATTTTCACACTGTTACTTGCTATCTCTAAGATACTTCTAGATTTCTACCTGCAATTTTTTTCCTAACTAACTCTCATTTAGCCTACTTTTTGAAGGTGTATTTACATGCCCTTTGGAACTTCACCAAGGGAGGTTTTTTCCGATGTGAAATTACACCAATCATAATTAATTTTTTTCCTCTGAAACAGAGACAAAAATCAATGAAAGGCCAAGAAGACATGCCAAGAAGTAGAAATTGAAGTTGCATATTGTTATGGAACGAGCTCACCCACCTCGATTATAAAGTGCTAAAAAGAGGAAGCCTCTGACAAGCAATAAACTGACACATAATTAAAGACAATTCAGGGCAGAACACATTCTGGCTGGAAAACATTTTCTTGCGCTCTACCTCACTGCTCAGAGCAGTGAGACAAAAAAAAAAAAAAAGGGTGACACTATGAAGACAATAAGTATCCCACTTACTCTTCACTAGCCGGGGGAAAAAGAAACACACCAGCTTTTGTGCAGTGCAGGTTCCCTCACATCACAAACAAGTTGATAGTACAGACATGCCTGGTATGTTCAGCATTCCATATCAAGCAAAAATGAATTAGCCGCAACAAAAATGTGTTACAGCTTTTATGCAGCAGTTTATGGATCTTTTTGTACCTCTGGAATTTTTTACCTTGAGCATCGTGGAACTTGTACTGTTTCAGATCTTTTCCTCAGATTATTTTTATCTCACGGTGAGGAACATCTCTGCGAGTTCTGAACAATTTTACAGCTGCTAGGATGCTAATGGGAACTTCATGTGTGTACCCAGCACAAGTGCTCTCAGGGAAAAAAAAGCCAATGTCAAAGGAAGGTATGCAGAAGTCACCATAAATATGTCTTTGAATGTTTACCATCTGGAACAGTAGATTACATTTTGACAAGAAGCTGGACTGCCCCGTGGGCATTGTCTTTTAAACAGCCCCATCATTATAAAGGAAGGAAAAACATGATTTGCTGTTCCTAGTTTCTCAGCAAGATTTTCTGGCAGTGCTAGAGAAACTAGTTGTTTTGTTTTTTTCTTTTTCTTTCTAGTAAAACAATAACAAGCTGGCCAAGCGTAGTTAGTTATGCACTTTCCTGAAAAACTATGGTTTGTTATAGATCATCTGACCCACAAAGAGGGATGCATTTCAGCTAGGTAGTGACAGCAGCAGTCTGTGCAGCTCACAGTGCTGCACCTTAGCTTTGGAAGACTAAACCTCTCTGTGCTGAAGCTGGCGTGTTGGACTTCTCACAGGACACACTGGGAGAAAGAGGAGAAATCCAATATACAAGACTTTAACATAGAGTCATAACAAGGTTTTCCTTTGGTTTTGTTTTTCATTTTAAGCTTGTAAAAGTTTCCATCACTTTTTACAATGAGAAAGTGTGGAGTGAGAGAAAAATCAAAACAGTCAGATTTATTCACAGAAAATGGTCTGGTTGTGCAGTCATTTTAGGGATTTAGCTAATTCTCTGTTTCAAATTGCTGTGGATGACTTCTGAGGATACATTCATACTAAAGAATGTGTTTGGAAAAGCAAGCTGAGAACAACCTGTAAAGGGGCCAAATAGTCTCTCAAAAAAAAAAATCTACAAAAAAGTGGGTTTGAGGCAAAAATATATGTGCAACCCAAAACATGGGTTTTTGGGCATTGTTACACAGTTGAATGCCAAAATCACAAAGCACCAGCTATAAATCCCCTTGCTCAGCCTACTAAACAGATCTTATTTCAGAACACATTATATACAGTATTATTTATAGAATATCTCACCTGTAAGTGGTGAGGACAGTGTTAGATTTCTTTCACGAGTAGGAGGCCAATAATTCATAAGCACCACAGGTATGTGAGAGTTAGTGTGAAGATCTGTTATAGTGCAAAAGAAACAAATAATTTCATTACTCAGCACAGGAAGATAGCATATATATATGCAGCAAATCTTTTACTAAAAAAAAAAAAATAAAAAAGGCAAATAAAAGGAAAATAACCCATCCTCTAACTTCTCCATCTAGATAATTTAGAGTAAAACAATGAGAACATCTTCTCTGATAAGCTAACATACTGTAATTAGTGATAACATTTCTGACTTCTTAGTTAATTTGCTGGGCTTCCCATGCTCTAGACATCAATGAACTTAATAGCGGAATTAAATGAAAATGATAGCAGAGTACTTCCATAACTAATTTCTAATTACATTTCTGCCCCTCTTCCTTCCTAGGCATAAATTTTTGCTTACTTTTAATTAACACTTCAGATCACTAGTTTAGAATCTATAAATATAGCGAGACTTTAATGATCCATTATAGTGATGCTACTTAGTTTTCAATGACTTGTAAAACTTTCCCAAACAGATCTGCAAATGAATTACATCCATCTGCTCTGCTGCAGCTGCAAGAGCAGCATTACATTGCACCCTGCCTTTCCCTACTTTCCTGATTTTCTCTTAACTTTAAGCCCATGTGTAAACCAAACCATCTCGATGCCGATCATCAGAAGCCCAGCCAGGTCTCTACAAGTGAGCCTTCAAACTTTACAGACATCTCAAACGCACTTTCCAAAACAGTCTGGTTTGCCTCACAGCTGAGCCCCAGACAGGCTGCACACTACTGAAGCATCCTCCTCAAAGCCTAGGAAATACTCTGCCGCAGTTCCTTCTCCCGCCCGACCGCGGATCTGTGGGAACGTGGAGGCGTTTGTACCCGCAGCCCCGGCACCCACCCGTGCCCGGCTGCCGCCTCGCCCGCGCCGCCGCGGGCACACACGTGTGCGCGGAGCGCTGCCTGCGGGGCGCGGGGGGGCGGGTAGAGGAGGCACCCGCAGGGCTGGGACACGCCGCTCCCGGGGAGATTTTCCAATCTACACCTCCGAAAGCGTGACCTTAGCGGCGCTGAGAGTGTTAGCTCTATGAAGACAGCCAAGCGTCAGGCTGTGCTCGCTGTTATCTGTCAGCCGTACAATAGCAGCATTGATAAGGCAGCAGCAACTGGCTTTGACAAGTGTGCTGTGCTAGCATTCCTCTGAAAACCGTGAAGAAAAAAGGAAAGAAAAGAAAAAAAAAAAAAAGAAAAGAAAAAAGAGAAGGAGGCATGAGGTGCCTTTTACTTTACCTGAACGAAGTATGGGGTTTTACTTTTTCCTTTGAGCTGCTGGAAACGACTGCTCCCTCTTCTCCCCCAAAGCTAGGTGTTTCTTCTTTTGCTTCCAGCTCACACTTGGGGAAGACCACACAGCTCCAGCAAGGCTGCCTCTCTCCCCTAATCCCCACTCGAGTGTGATGACACACACTAACCCCAACCATCTGTTGAAACACGTCCTCAAGCACTCAGCACAGTGGTGTGTCAAGACGGGCTGCCCAATCCAATCGCTGGGGTTGGGTGGCTCTTAAGGAGCTGGAGGCAGAGACAAGGGCAGAAACTATAGGGCTGAGAACTCTTTAGCAAAGTAACCTGAGATTTTGAAAAAGGGCTGCTATGGAAAAAAAGAGCAGAAGGGGGAGGTACTCGCGGGAAGGTAGAGGGAGTGGATTAGTCTGGTGGCCTGTTGTGTAACTTCTTACAACTCCTTGTATTCCCAAAGGACCACTGGGACCCCCTCGCAGTGGGATGCACACCAGCACAAGAGCAACACTAAAATGTTTTTATGGCGCGTCTATTGAGGGCAATCTCCTCCGAGAGACGCTTTTCTAAAAGAGATAAAAGATGCAGCTTGAAATCCTGATAAAGTGCTACTGCGGGAGTCGTTTGCACAGCAATGTGACATTTGCATCCCGAAATCCCAACTCCTTACCGTGCCGCGGTTACCCCTTGGCTGCCTCCAGCCTTCCTGGGGGAACGGCGGAGAGAGGCTGGAGGAAAACCGAGGGGCGAGGCGGGGAGAAAACGGGAAATCCAAAGGGCAGATATTTCTGCTCCTGCACACTGACATCTGCGAGTACTTCCCCCCCCCCCCCCCCCCCCCCCCCCCCCCCCCCCCCCCCCCCCCCCCCCCCCCCCCCCCCCCCCGAGCCCGCGCTTCCCGGGACGCGGGTTAAGCGCCTCGGCTGCCCGGCGTGCCCAGCGGCTCGCTCGCCCAGCGCCACTCGCTGCTCGCCCGCCCCGGGGCTGCTGCATCAGCCGCTCCGCGCCCGCCGCGCTGCTCTGACAGCTCCGGCCCCCGCCGGGTCCCCGCGCCCCTCCCTCCCGCCCCTCTGCCGCGGGAAGCGCTGCCACCAGCCTGTTGCTTCCCGCGTTCCCCACCCGCTTCCGCCACCTTCGCGCCGCCTCGGGCCGTCTTGCGGGATGCAGCCGCGGTTTCGGGATCGCCGCCCTTCTCCTGGGGACCCGTCACGGCCCCAGTCCGGGCTGGGGGCTCCGGGCAGTGCCGCGGCAGGTCTGAGCTGCGCCTAATCTCTACCTCAGTTTCCCTCCGCCCCAAAGCAAACATTATCACACCTTACTCTTTCTTTCAGGGTCACTGCCAGGAAAAATCCACTAATTTATAGAAGGTGTCCGGGAAGGATAGATAAGGGACACGGAAAAACTGCTAAGTGCCAGAGAAACAGTTCTTTCCCTTCCCCTCCCTGTAATAGGATAGCGTGGAAGATTTAAAATCTCAAAGGTTTTTACCTCATTACCAAGTGCCTGACTTGACACTTGCATTAAATCTACATTTCACATTATGACAGATGCTCCGTTTTCTTTGAACTGAAAGGGAAGGACATCGTTCTGGCATTAAAAGTTACTCTGAAAGTGTCAACATCCAAGTTGAAGAAAGGTTTGCAACTGTGAAAAGACACACTCTGCCCAGCTATATGAAAGCCATATGAGAGTCTTGAAATGCTGATTTGGCTTACTTGTTCTTTAATACCTTACAAAAGGGTGTTTCTGAAGGACTAGTGGCAAAGTGAATACTTAATAAAAAGTGATATTCAAGAGCTGGGGTCTGTGCCCAGTTAGCCGTTATCAGAGCTGACCTGGAGAAGAAAGGAAAAAGAAGAAACTGTAGTCGCATTTGCTCAGATTCTTCCCCAAAGTAATGATACAGTGTCTGTTTCAGTTTATTACTCTGAAACTGCTATCACAGATGTTGGCTATCCACTAAAACACTAGTCCCTAATCTGCTAATTCCAGATAAATAAACAGCTGAACAATATTTTTGACAATAATATGTGGTGAAGTAGGGATGCAACTACTATCCCTGGGGTATTGTAACATTCTTAACGTTGCCAATTATGTCTTCAGGGCAAGGGTTTGGTTTGATTTTCTTTCATTCTACCAGACTGTGGTCTGTAAACAGGCTGGATAACCTTACATATTCAGAAAGCCCTGGAGACTTTATTAAACTCATTTGCATTCTGTTTAGCTGTGCTTCCATTACTAGTATTGCATAATAACTGCATTAAAAATCAGTAGTGATCAGAAATGTGGAATATCAAAAAGCCCCCACATTTGTGCTGTATCATCCTGCGCACTGACTCACTGGCTAAAATGCAGCTCAGCTCATGGCTGCTCTATTTGATGAGATGCAAACTCAACAAGGTTCAGTCTCTAGATACTTCTAACCAATAGGAATGCTAGTTCTGTGCACTACAATTATTTTACGTTGTGCTGTTTGTATGCTTACGCAATGCTGTGTACTATATTTGTATATAAATATACATAAGCAACTTACTGAGCATTTGTGTGCTGTACAGGCACAGATCTGTT